TAACTGCCTCATCAATGTCCCAAATAAAAATAAGAAACTACCTTGGAAATAATAATACATAATAATTTGTTTTTAAAAAGCAAGAAAAAAGGCAGTAAGAGGACCTCTGTCAAAAATCTAACATCTTGAGTGTCTTCTCCACAAATATTAGTAAAAAGGCTTGACACAAAATTTGGATTCATGACTAGTGTATTACTGTACCTGATTCATGGCAGTAATTTTAAAACAATAGGTTTGAAGACTCTGTGTACATGGGTCTACATGTATGTTACATATGTGTGATATCTAACGTCTGGATGGTAAAATTTCTAAAGAGCTCTATTCAATTGGCTTAAAGTAAGCACTTATATAAATTATTTCTAAATGTCATAGAAACTAACCCAAATGCCTTTCAAGTTAACATGATATAAATTAATCTTTGGTAAGTGAAGCTTATTGAAAATTGTTGATTTTATTAAAATGGACATTTCCTCAGAGTTACCAGCATCAGATATGATGAAGACATACAGATATGATGAAGACATACAGCCTATATCTGTGATGTTATCTCTATTACAAAATTGATTAGCAGAAACAATAGCTTAAAAAGATGGCTAATTTTGTCTAATGTCTCATGAAGTTTTGTAGACAACCTAAATAATTATGGGGAATGAGTAAACTAAATAGATGTGAAAAAGATAAAAGTGTTGGGTGAACTTTTTATGTGATATGGCATATATATTTAAGATAATGTCTAAAGTCTCTCTGGTAACTTGAAACTTTGAAGTTTTACTAGGTAAAATTGAATGATAAAAAAACCTTATTGACTATCTGGGTCATTTTTCAAATAAGATAAAAATACCGAAACATTATCACTAAACACGTCTAAGATTATCTACTTTTGGCGTCTTATTACAAGGAAACTAAAAGATGTTTGGGTCTATTAGTAAAAATGCCTTGATTTTTATTACAAATTGTAATATGATGTAACATGTTTCTAGAAATTATAAAAAAGTATTTATAAATTTGCCAAGCCACAGAATGCTAATGTAAGGGAAAGTTCATAATTGCTTAATTTTTAGTTTTCACTAAGGTCTGTAAGGGTTAAAAATTGTAATTAACATAAGAATAAGTTTTAACATAAAAAGTAAGCTGTTGCAAAAATTAAAACTTGATTTTCTTTCTCTGAAAAGGGATAATTTTCTTAAACTCTTAGTCTGCTCTTGACAAAGAGATTATAAAAGGTTTTTCTTCACCTTTGAGTAAGTTTACCTAAAAGACAGAAGATCTATGTCTTGTTAAAATAATTTCCTATGTTCAAAAAGATTGAGTTCTTGCTATTAAGACTTTTTTGACTATTTTAACTTTCTGTTTGTCCTTGACTATTTCTGTTGTCACTTTGATTGAATGGATAGCTGACCATTATTTCACAGTGAGCATTGTTTAAAAATTCTAAAACATTTCTAAAATTCTGAGTTGTCTTGGTTGTCAGCCATAATTGTAATTATTATCTTGAAGTGTTATATGTCACAGAAGTAGCAAAGTTTCTTTGTCAATTGCCCTTTGAGTCTTTTGTCACTTGCAGATAGTTGCTGTTTTTACTGATGCTTTTGCAAACATGTTTCATCCTCAGAGAGATTCATGGAATGGACTCTGGCACTTACTCTAGAATCAGGTCTGTGATAAACTTTCAGATCATAAAGCTCAACAGGGTATGAAATTACAGACTCTAATGGGGAAACTGATGACTTCATGAAACTGCTAACAGAAGATTAAGATCAAGAATCAATTGCACAGGACTGAATGAACTGATGAGGATGATTATAATTTATACAACTTTCAGTTTGAGATAGTGCTGATTTTTTGATCTTTTGTTTAGTTTTGTTTCCTCATTTAAGGAAATTTTTCACGTTTCTCTCATGCTAACTATGATTTATAGAAATTTGGTAAATTATACCTTTGTAAGCAGAACTGAAACATTTATCTTTTTTCTCCCTACTTTATCCCTCCAGAATTTGGAAACTCTTAAGGAGTGAGTATTGTTTTCATGATAATATAGTTATTTGCATAAATTCAATAAGAATCTGTTCTTCATATAACAGGGTATAATTGGAAACATTGTTTATAATACTAAGGCTTTGACAGGAATGTCATATTTGAGAGAAACATACAGACCCAGATACAACAAGACAGCTTTTGAGGAGTAAAGGTTGACTTTCTGAAATAAAGTAACTTGGAAATATTGGCCTGGTACCTTGCTTACAGAGTTCCCAGAAACATTTCTGGGTGAGTAAAGAACATCACTCCTCTGGCAGGTACAAGGAACCTCAAGGATCTGTAGGTATTGCAGGGAGAGTCTGATGGCAAGTCCTTGGCTTGGCTTTCCTGGCCTCAAGAGGCCTTTAAAGTTCAATCTGAGATTCTTTTAAAAAGTTCCTGCAAAGCAGATTTGAAAGAACCTATATAATCAACTGCTATTCTTGCTGTACTTACGTAAATAATTTGAGAAAGTTTCATTGAAACTAGACTTATTTCGCAAACCAATGAGTCTTAGTTGGCTATCTTTGGTAAAAGTGAGAGTGATTTTAGAGAGAAAAATTATGTTTCAATGGAAACTATAGTATACATTCATGGATATTAGATTCTAGTTCTGATAATTATCTTTGAAGTTTTTGTTTCCTATCTGTAAACTGGATCAATCTTGAATTCTTCCAGTCTCCTGAAATATCTGGCTACAAATCTCCAAACTAATGTTTTCAATTTTTCCACCATCATTTTCATTTGAAATCATTGAGAACTGAACCTGCCCTTTTCCTGAAGTCCTGCAGACTGAAGCTGGCCAACTTGATATAAACTCAAGAGAGACTCATGTCTGTTGCTGTGTAAGCCACTCAGAAAGATACCTGATGACACCATCAGAGGCATTTCAAGCTACTAAAGATCCTTCAACTCTATTGTCTAGAAATATTTTTGGCTGGCTGCTCCTGGGGTCAGAAACTGGTTTATAATTTGCTCCCACCATTAATCTTGTTTTTCTTTTGCTTCGCTAGAAATGATTTATGTTAATAACTCAGGGAAGGTTGAGACCAACATCTGGGAAATCTATGAACAAATGTCCTGGCTTCACTCATATAACCAAGAAACAGACCCAAGTTGGGCATGATCACTCATGAAGGGTACCCTCCCAGCCCTCACCTGGTTCTTTCCCTTCTTGGGAGCCCTGGTAATCATCCTACTCCTATTAATTTTTGGCCCCTGTCTTTTTAACCTCTTGTCAAGTTTGTGTCCTCTAGGCTCCAAAAATTCCATATTATACTGATAGTCTCGCAAGGGTTCTAGCCACTTCCAACAGCTGACCCACCTTGTCCTCATTCTCATTCTTACTGGACCCTGCAACAAGCTGAAAAAGATTTTTACTCCTCCCAGATATAGAGACCCCTTCTCAACACCCACTGTCATCAGGAAGTAGCTTCAGAAAACGAGACCTTCACCCATGATCATTAAGATTAAGGAGGATAAAATTTCTCAGGGCGGAATGAGACAGGAACCAGCTTAATTAGATAGAGCCATCTGCAAGGCCCCTCGCCTAACAAAATAAAGCCCCTAACCAATCTGCAAGATAGGAGAATCAGATAAAGATCAGCAAGATCCACATTCAGCAGTCTTGGGACTTTCCTGGGCCTACACATGCGCCCTAGCACTCAGGAGTTCTCTGAAGGTGACCCTAGCCCCATTAGCATACTAAAACTCACACCCAGTGGTGGAGAGCTAGCATGCTAATAGTACATGCACCACATGAGGTGGCATGTTGAACAACGGCTCTGGCTCAAGCACAACCCCACCTCTACATGTCATGACAAGGCACTCCTCCCCAGTCTTTGCCTAATAAAAGCCCCACAATCCCACTCCCTAACAAGCTGATCACCTGTCCCTTTCCTTTCTGCATCTGTTCTCTTGTGCCTCTCCTGTGCACAAGCTAATAAACTTTCATTTTTTTACCCCCGTTTGTTGTCTCTCTTGTTTTCTATCCTGGGGGGCAACAAGAACCCAATGTGCTGGTAACACTATCAACAATTTTATGCTGTATCTCCATCAGATGAGCCATGCTGTGTCCCAGCGAGGCCACAGGAAGAGACACAATGATACTTTTGAAGGTTGGGGACAGCGTGCACAGCTTGCAGAAGCACAAAGGCTACAAGGCAATCAGAAAGAGCCCCAAGGGAGCATCAATGTTGGCAGAAGGGGAATGAGAGTGGGAGGTTAGCCCCCACCTCCCAGCTCCCATGCCAGCACTCATGCAGTCTCTTCTTAAAGCTAAATACTGTCACCACTAAGAGCCCCATCAGCCACAGCTCCCTTGTTTTGGCAGCCAGAGCTTCCCCACCTATTCAATGGCTGAGGTCACAGTTGCTTCCTCCCATGCTGGGCTCCTTGGCTTTGTGAAATCACATAGCTATCTTGCCCATTTTAGATGGGTGCCTCATCATTAATATGAAAGTTAATAAGGCTCACTTGCATTTGCAGACCACTTTCCTAATAACAATTTTAGATTGCATGTCAGATTCTTTTTATGCATTATATCTCTCAACTAATAAATTTATGAAGTTGTTTTTCTTCTTATCATTAGTGAGTGGTGAAATCGAGGCCTAGAGAGGTCAAAGATTTTGCCAAAGGCCACACAGCTCCAAAGACTCAACTCAGGGATAGGACTCAAATTGAGAACTGTCTGACCACAAAGCTCATGTCTTAACCAGTAAGTACCACACATTCCTATCCTGCAGATCATTTCATACTTTCAACCACTCAGGTATTTGTAGATGAGCAACCTGAGACCCAACAAGTTGAAATGACCCTTCCCAAGGTCACTGAGATAGTCAGTGCCACAGTTAGACCTTGAATGTGGGTTTTCTGATTTTAAAACCATTATTCCTTTACACTGGACATCACTTTTCCTCAAACTTAGATTAACCAGTGAGATTAGCAGAATGGAAGCACATAGATGTTTATGAAGACTCACTGACCTGTGGGCCAGCTACTCCAGGGGCCCCTGGGAGGCCTCTGAGACCAGCATCTCCCTGGAGCAGGGACAAAAGGAAAAAAGTCAAGAATGAGTATCTAGCACCCATGCTCAGAGTCATCAGCAAGCCATCACCACCACACACTATTTACTGATTTTCCACTGGGATTTCCCTGTCCCCACACCCACCCCAGCATGTCTGAGCAAAGGATGTGGTCAAGTCATGGTACAGGTGTGGTCGTGCATTCATTGGCATAACTCAGGACTAATGTGGTTAATTGGTGGGGTAGCCAGTCTCCAAGATGATCCAATGACCACTTCCTCTCTTATTCACACCCTACAGTTGGCTCATCCCATTTGTTCAAGAGAGACAGTGTTAGGATCTCCAAGATAATGTACTTCTTTGCAATGATAAAGACTGTTTCCCCTTTTCTGCTTACCTTTTTCCCTTCTGGGCCTTCTCTCCCTGGCTTTCCTGGGAGACCTTTGTCCCCTTTAAAACCTGGCAGACCAGGGAGGCCTGGGGGGCCTGGAGGGCAGTCATTGCACACATCCTGAGAGAGAGAGTAAGTAATAGTTACTTGTAAAGCAAAAGGTGGTCAGAGCTCCTCCGTCTCCAGACAGCAGGATGCCAGCAAATGATGGAAAAGCAAACAGGCGGACAGAGTCATCACCCCCCCCCCACACTTCGTGTCACCCTTTACGTTTCTCTCTTCATCATAAATTAGATTTTAGTGCTGATATATCTGGATTATCACATCATTTCTCCCTACTTCTTGCCAGGCAGACTGCTGGAAAGATAGCCCAGGACAATGATGTCAAAAGTACACATACCAATATCTGTGAGCATCTAAAAACAGCCACAGCACAGATTCAATGCAAACATTTAGTATTGCTGAAAATAGCATGCTCTGTCCCTAAGGCTAGAGACAAAACAAGGCTGGAAGCTGTGTTCTCTGTCTCGTGGGTTTCCCTAAGTGGTTTCTGAACAAAGAAGCAGAACAAGGGAAGTAAGGGCCAGACACCCTCAGGACTTTCCTGCGGCGACAGACACCCAATCTGACCATGGCTGGCATTATTCTTTGTCTAAAGTAGGCATTTAATAAGTGTTCCTGGAATTGAGATTTTCTCTACTTCTTTGAGGCAAGTAAGTGCTGTCTCTAGAGTGAATTCCAAGTTCTCCCAGCCCAGGGCACATGTTTTCTACTTTGTCTGCAGCATCTCTAGATCTTACAGTTTGGAGCTCAGTATGTACCAAATAAAACACACTGGTGTGAACACACTCTGGCCTAACTCATATGCCAGAGTCTTGGGTTGCGTCTTCTCTCTAATCCTCACTCTTCCTCCTCCTTCTGTCTTGTGATAAGGGTTACATGAGATAATACAATGAAGGCACCTGGAATAGTGTCAGATGATTCCTAGTACATTTGGCTATTACTATTAACTCATGTATTCACTCAGAGACTCCCTCAATGGAAAAACTGCTTGCAGAGCATCCGCCCTGTTAGGCTCTCTGCCTTTCTGCTCTGTGACCACAATAAGTATGCATCTTGAAGAGCTCATGGATAAATGCTGTCAACTGACACAAAATAAATGCATTAACTAGGGCCTTTCAAATGCTCCACTAGAGGGATCTGCACAAGCACCTGGAAGCTGTGCTTGTTCATAGTCAAGGAGGTGATGTTTCAGGTGAATTAGCATTCATTCTGGTCTCTAATTCAGGATGGAAGGGTTTTTCCATCACAAAAGCAACTCTGAATGGCCTGCCTTCCTTTTACTTCTTCATTTCTACTCAACCTTTGAAGATTCTTAAGAAATTTCCTACTCCAAGAAGCCTTCCTGATTGTTTCAGACTGGGGATAAATTCCTGTTCCCATGGATGCGAGGAATTCCCACTATGGAAGCCTTTGTCTCACTGTTGAGGTGGTCTGTTTATAAGTCCATCCCGTCCTCACCAGGCAAAAGGAAAGTGTGAGCTCTCAGAAGACAGAGGTAGAGCTGTTTTATCTTTGTACATCCAATTCATAGCAGATGGCCTTCCACAGAGCACGAGTTCAATAAATGAATGAGCCAGCCCACCTGACTGACCCACTGATCACTAAGTTTTTGGTGTCCTGTACCATCTTCCCTTAGTGGGTGATTTGAGCAGTTGGTAGAATTTTTGTGTTTGGAGGGTGGAGAGTGATAAATATTGGGGTATACAAAGCAAAGGTGAATGAGTTAAGTGAAGTATGGTATTTTGGGTTGCTGTTTTTTGCTGGGAGGAGTAGCAGAGCTGGGAGAAATTCACCCATTCCTAGATCTTCTCTTACAGTTCTTTAAAATGAGAGGCATCCACAAAACACTGAAACAATGGTTATATGGATTATGGGAATGGACCTAGCCTGGTAGCCGCAGAAGTTCTGGCCACTGAGATTTTGCTGGACTTGGAGGGTCCAGTGGCTATTAGGAACCATTCTTTGCAGTGGGATCCACGGTATGAAGTGATTATATCTGAGTCATGTGAAATCCCACTACTCTCCCATTTCTTTCTAATTTCTGGCAGTGCTAACTCTTCACCTGACTCTGTCTTCGTCACAGATTCTGTGCAGGACTGTTCCCTGAAGACCAGAGCTGTCAGCAGCCCCAGCAGCCCCTAGACTTACCAGTGAGGGGGCTGGACTTGCTGCGCTGATTCAGTCCTGGAATCTGTGAACCCAGGGCAAGAACAGCCCTCAGGCTGCAGTCTCACCAATGCTCACCTGGGGCCTCCCCTCCCTCCTGACCCTGGGCTCCGGGCACGACCTTGAGACTAGACAGGGTTCTGCTTCAAACCAGATGGGCTCACCCAGACCACACGGCAGCCTCTGCCCACCTGAGACCACAGTTTCACCTCTCTGAGCCTCAGCATCCTTATGTGTGAAATGGAGACCTCAAAGTCTGGTGAGAAGTAAATGAGATAATGAATGGAAGATGCCAGATGACATGACTGGCACGGTGAGAATGCAATGAATTTTAGCTGCTACACTTAGTTTTGCTTATAGTTTTCCTCCCTAAATCTGTTGCCTTGCTCCATTCACAGATCAGATGCCCTTGACCATCAATACTGGCCCCCAGCTCCTCAGCTTAACAGACTTATCTCAGGCAAGTCACTTAATCCCTTTGAGTCTATTTCCCTATCTGTTAAGGATCATTCTCCTACCTTAGGAGATTGTTGCAAAATCTTAATGAAATAATGCTTGGAAAGCTCCTAGCATGTTGCAGGGTTCCCTGTGTGTAATCTATAAATATTGATTTCCTCCAGTCTCTAACTTCCTCCTTCTGTTTGAGATGTTTTCTGCACGTGGCTCTCTGGGTCGTTGTATTCAGTGTGGTACAGCACACCAAGTAAGCACTCAATAAAAGGTGGACAAAGGAGAGGAATGCTGTAGTCTTTGCTATGGGGAAAAACAACTCTTGCTTCCCAGGAGTAGAAATAACCTCCAGGTCATCTCATCCAACCTCTCGTTGCACACCTGAATCTTCACTGCCAGAGGGTTGTGTAACCTACGTTTCAAACCTCTGGGGACAGGCAGGGGCCTCACTCCCTGCCTGTACTTGATCAGGCAGCTGTCAGGAAGTTCTGGCTCACACAAAGATAGTCGGATAGCAGAGGGGTAAGGGCAGGGTTTGGAGTTGAGTCTCACACTGGGTTTGAGTCTTGGCTCAGCCACCATCCAGCTCTGTGACTATGAACAAGTCACTTGCTCATCTGTGTTCAACCTTCTCTGTAGAATGCAGACAGTAACAGTACCCTCCCACAGCACTGTTTGTGAGGATTGGATGAAATAACATTTATCCAAGGGAATCATCTAATGGAGACATCCTGAGGATGACCTCCCTCGGCACAGATCCAACTATGGAAGTTCATTTAACAGGGACTCTCAGAAGATGAATTTTCTACCCAGGCAGTTTTCCAACTATCAGAGTGAGGTATATGATGTCATAAAATTCTTTGGGGCAGAGGTAAACATTCTGTAATAAAATATGCCTTTTCAACAAGGGAGGGACCTGCCACCAGCCACCTGGACCAGTCCAGCAGGCGTTAACCTACACCATAAAGATGCCTGCAGCTGATTATAAAATACAGAGCTATGATAGTCAACTCTGCCAACCTGAGCAAACCCGCCTGCCAGGGCTGTTGTCTACAGGGTTTCCAGGCAAAGCGCAGTTCCGCGGGAGGAGAGCATCTCAGACGCCACCTTGAATGTGGATGCTTATATTCCCTCTGGGGTTCCTACCTGCTTTGACGAACAAAACTGCATCCTTTATCAAGGAAGGAGTATTGATTTGACTAAATATCTGTCTCAACTCTGTAGCTATGAAGCGTAATGCTTAACCCCCAAGGTACTCACTCCTGTTATCATTGGCATAAAGACTGGGACATCTTGAGGTTGAAATCCTTGGGGTGGTGGGGACCCAGGCTGATGCAAACCCAATTCCTTCCAGAGTGACAGAATTATGGAAAATGATCTAGGCTAATCAAAGTCTGTAATAAACAAAGGGATTAAATCAATAGATAATGATTTCTTGTCATGTCATTGACCATGGGAAAACTCTCTCTCATCAATAAAAATCAGAAAAGATTGTCCTACTTCCTTTCATTTTTTAATAAAATGTATAAATTTCCATGAAGGCATCTCAATGTGTAGAGAGAAGAAAAGTCCCAGGCTTTTGAGAAGGTTTTCTTTTCTCTTTTGTTTTTCCTCCCTTGCTCTCATGCATGAACTAGGTATTTTTTGACATCATTCAAGGGTTTTTCAGAATACAGCAAGTAAAGGAAGGGCTGATCACACAAGCACTAAGCTTCACCCAAAACTAAGACAAAGGCAGCCAAAAGGTCCTTTACACTCATTGCAGCGAGATTCTCTTTCTGAAACACACATCTTACCCCATCTCTGTCTGGCTCACAGCCTTTCCTAGCTCTCCACCATTTAAGACCTGAGGTCCTTGGCCAGGCACCTGGGCATCCAGCATTCATTGCCCTATGTCAGCAGAGTTAGGCTCAACTTCTCAGGGCCTCTGGCACTCACAGAGAAAGTGCACATGGTTCTGAAAACAGCTAAGTGTGCACTCAAATTTAGACGCGTCCCAGCTGAAGGGCCAGGCAGCTGCCTTCACCTTCTGCACCTGTGTTCTGGCCATTGCACCAGTAGGACCCACACCCAACCCATTTGACTCTGCCTAAGGCATTCTTTAAAGAACATGAGGCAGTCCTGTGTGGGGTTAAAGGTCAGTCTCTGGAATCAGTGAGGAGTGGCTTCCATTCCCAGAAATCACTGGCCCTCATGGTGTCCCAGTTTCCTTACATGCACGACAGGAACATAAACAGTACCAACCCGATAAAGTAATTGTGAAAACTGAATCAGAGATGTACATTGGGTATTTAGCACAGCACTGCCCAGGAGAGCTTTCTGTGATGATGGAAAGGCTCTGTATCTGCACTGTCCAATAAGATGGACTCTAGCTGTATGTAGCTACTACGTACCTGGAATATGGCTAGTGTGACCAAGGACCTGAAATTTTAATTGTATTTAATTTCACTTAACTTAAATTTAAATTAACACATGTGGCCAGTGGCTGCCATGTTGGAAAGAGGATTTAGCACATTGCTGGATACATAATGACTTCTCAATAAATGCTGTTATTATCATTAATACTATAATGTAGTTGTTCTGAGAAAAAAAGAGAACACTTATTATTGACATCTTCAATCCCCATCACCATTTTCAAAATGCATGCACATATGTTCTACGCTTTTACCTTAACCAAGAGATTGATGTCCCCTGGAGACAGGAATGGAGAGGGGCCCTGCCAAAGTAAAAATAAATAAGTACAGACATATACACATGCATGCATACAGTATATTCCAAGCTCCTTGAGACAGTGAAAGGCCTTCAAAATGTAAGCTGTAACTCATAACACATCTGTGCCATGCACAGGAGGCAAACGGCCAGTCCCAAGCCTGGGAGCCACAGAAAGAAGACCCTTCTGAGGCAGCAACTGCACAGGCTGCCAGTCCTAGCCAAGTCTGACTGCTATTGGCCTTTCTGGTCCCCAGTCTCCTTCTGCTGGCCCCTTCTCTTCTCCTGGTGGTCTTTCCTCCCCCGCCCCCCACCATCAAAACCCAAAAGGTCATATGGGTACTGTGCGAGGCAAAGCGACGGACTGTCCTGGATTCCCCAGATGGGTAACAGCTGTTGCTATTAGTCATTCCAACCCAGTATGAATTTAAAGCAATTTCTTCAGCTCTCCCAGGTGAAATAGCATTTTGAACCTCATCCATCATTATCGGTTGAAAGTCTTTTAACTCTGGGAAGGAGATTTCAGAAATCAGGAGTAATTACAAAGCCTCTGAAGGTCTGTAGGTGTCTGCTGGTCACCAAAGTCACATTCAAACCCACTGTGAGATGGAGTGTGGCTTCTTATGATTGTGGCCAGCCGGGAGCCCAAAATGGAGGGGAGGCTGAGTTCCAATTAGGAAGCAAGGAAGACAAGGCTGCGAAGGAAAATGGAAATTAAAAGGCAGATACTAAAGGGAAAAAGGGAATCTGAGGGAAGAATCGGAGATTGGCCTGCTACTTTGAAAACTTCAGATTTTGCAATGGAAAGAAGACCAGAGAGTCCATTCTCCAGAGGCAAGGTGGTAGATTTTCCTCCAGAATATGAAGGGCTGTGGACACAATTGAACTTGCCGTGGTTGATTTCTTGATTAAGTTTGAGCTCACGTCTATGAGTTCTGAGTCGAATCTAGCATCTTGGGGAGGCTGAAACCAAGAACAATTTTCCTGGCTTCCCCCCTTCTCCAACCCCACAGGGTTTCTGCCACATCTTGTGGCTAACAAAAGCCACATGACAGTGGCATCATACAAGTTTGCATAGGAGAACCTCGGTAGTGGCTGGGGACACGTTTGTGTTGTTTTCTGTGCGGATATGCTCAAGTATCTGATCAACCCTCTGGGCTGTGGCAAGAGGAAGGCACCAGAGAGACAGACTGGGTCGGAGAGATTCAGATTTGGAGGGGCTGAAGGAACGAGCAGTGCTGCACAAGAGCTCACCTAGGTTGTAGCTAAGGACAAAGCCGAGACTTTCCCTAGTTCTCTGAGTCAGATCTCTGGAGGAAGGCCAACCTTTGCAACATTAACTTATTAAAACCTTAATTTAAAAGAGGAAAAGAGGTTTTATTTTGAAGCCTTATAGTTTTCCCTGGGAAGTTAATACAGTAGAGGATTCATATTGTTCAAGTCAGGACATTTTTCGCTGCTGGCATTGTATTCTTTGGGATATTTTTATGTGTCATTTGAGCCCTTTGCATAATAGAATGAGCTATATCAGCCAACATGGCTGGGGATTAGTTACAGAGGGAGAGAACAAGGAGTGAATTTTCAGTTTAGATACAGTGTGCCCCTGGGGATAATTTAATTAATGTCTTGTTCTGACCCATTTACGCAAACCTCACAAGATAGGGCATAAGAAGATGCATGCAAACAGGGTCTGTGTGTGAGCAGTGGCCTTCGGAAGGTGGACACGGTTTGCATAACAGACTGCCATGCTCACCTCTGAGGAGTCAGTCACACATCGAGGATCATTGCTAGGCATGATGGAATAAGAGGACAAATGTAGAAGTGTTGAGGGTGTGGAAGATATAATCGGCGTCCTGCCTAGCTCCTCCTCACCTCCTGCTGTACCCATCCACCAGCTGCCAGGAATGCTGGCTGGGAATTCTGGCTGGAAATGCCAGGAAAGTTACACAGCCAATGACTGATCAATATGGAGTTACAAAAGAGTGGCCCCTTGACTCCAGAATGGACAGCTCCACAGTGCCTTTCACACTCCAGAGCTCCCTGTGGAATCAGGCCAAGGCTAAATTCCAGAGGAACCCACATCTTTGACTGGCTTTTTCCCCACCATGTCCAGCTTCCCTCAATCCTTGCAGGTTTCATCTGAGAACACAACCTCAGCCAATCACTTGCACAAAACTTCCTACAAGAGCCTCTGCTTCTAGAGAACTCCACCCTAGACAGGGGCATTTCTGGTAGGAATTTTGTGAATGCAGCATTGGAGAAACACTTCAGGTTCCCCTCTCCACCCACTGAGGGGTGATGACTGTGCAGTAAAGGATTAAGTCAGCAGGCGTGGGTTGTCCAAACCCTAGACACTCCAAAGAAAGGTCTAGCCCTTACCAGAACCTGAGGGACAACTTGTAAGCCCTTGGAATGTCCTGCCTAATAAGAGCCTCTGTTAACCTAGGGTCTTGGACCATGCAGATAGCTCATGCTACCAATGTGATTTATGGTGGGGGCCTTGGGCCGCGTAGTATCAGTTTGACCTCTGGAGGGGCTGGAGACTGAGTAACTAAGATCAGCCATGCAGGCATGCTCTGTCTACATGATCAACCCCCAATAAAAAGCCTGGACACCAAGGCTTGGGTGAGCTTCCTTTGTTAGCAATACTTTGTGCTTCTCCAGAGCACTCATTGTCACCTTACATGCCATTTGCTTACACATAATTGCTGGGAGAATGAAGTGCTTTCTGCACACGTTCACCGGGAGAGGAAAACTGGAAGCTCTGAGCCTCATCACTCAGGGACTCTGTGCTATGCATCTTTTTCCTGTGCTGATTTTAATCTGCATCCTTTCACTGTAATATCCATAACCATAGGGAAAACAGATTTCCTGCGTTCTGTGAGTCCTTCTAATGAATCACTGAACCTGAGGATGATCATGGGGACCCCCCAAAAGAAGGACTTATCTGATTGGCAAGAACACAGAGAATCTGCTGGCTGCTGGCTACACTCGGGACCATCTGGATAGAGTGTGTTCAGTGAATCTAACAGTAGTCAAACATGCACCTATTTCCTCTCTCTCTCTCTCTCTCTGTTCTGCTGATGACCAGCTGTGAGACACTCACAACTGCCTGCATTGTCAGCGGGACTCTGCTGACTTAATTCTCTTTGAAGAGCAATGTCAAGGTCTAGATTTGGCAGAGGTCATTTGAACCCCCATTTAGCTTCAGGTTTCAACCTTATTCTTTCGCCCACTTCCCCAGGGCCTTGCACTGGGGTAATGAAGTGGGTTCTGTGAGGCGTATTTGGCCGCTGCACAGCTGACTCCATAGAGAAGGAGGGGTGAGTGAACGAGCTCTCCCTAACCTCCAACAAGAATTTCTACTCATCCCACTGGAAAGTCTTCAATGAAACATTTCAGGACCCTTCCAGACAGATCAGGATCCCCCTCCAGGCCTCTACTGTGCCCAATAGCCTGGATTAGGGAGGGATAGTTGTTCCAGCCCACAGGGGCCTCTGTGCCTTGGGTCCTTGTCTGAAACTTATAGCAAGCCAGGCTTGAGAGGAGACAGGTGGCCTTTAGATCCGTCTTTAGGTAAAGCTTCTGCCCAGGCGAGCATACTGGTTTCTGGAACCAGACGTACAGTCTCAGTTTCAAGGCCTGAGATTCCCCCGTCTTGACTGCCACTGTCTCTTCCATCTTAGGTAGCCTCTTTCAATGGACTAATTTCTCCTGTATCTGCACAGCTGCCTCCTCACTTGTCCTGACCTGCTCATCTTCACTGTTCCTTCCCTGCAGGGCAGGCCCGTGGCCTGGTTATACTCGGCTAAACCTTTCAGGCTTCTCCGGCATTGACTGGTAACTTAGTCAAGGGGCTTCCCAGAAGATGAATGTGATACACGTCAGGGAAGCCTGCAGGCCCTTGGGCTAGAATGTGGCCACACTGCCAAGGACCAAATGCTCAACACTGTCCATTTCTGCTCAACCTTTCACAGTTTCCACTGTTCTCACTGTGAGAGAGGAAAGAAAATTTCTGCTACGATAAAAAGTGGTGCAACTGGGAGGTGTTGACATTACTGAACAAAGGAGCCAGTTAGAATTTACAGTGAAGGCTGCTGGGGTCCATTTGCTCACCCCAGATCCACTTTTGATCCTTCTCTGTCCTGCTCCATGCTGCACCCCTGGGAATGGACCAGCGCTTACCTGCCTGCTGGCCTGCGGCTGAGCTGGACCAATGAGAGGCACCACTAGGAACATGGAGCGGGGAGACATTGCTCCTTCCCTGCCTCGGACCAAGCTTTCTGACGGTGGCTTTGAACCCACAACCACAGCCCCCGTCTGGTAGTCCCTTCCCCACCATTCTCTCTTTCATTTGGCTCTGAAAATAGGTATGATGGTGGTATCGGTCTCCCCCTGGAGTTCCCTCTGGCCACAGTTTTGTAAAAAGTCCCTTTTAAAAAGCTCTTGAACCGTTTGATGCATTTTATTCTCACTGGAGCCCTGAATGATAGTCAATATTCATCCAGAACAGTTAGATGACATACTGGTTTACCAGGAGGTCCTCTTTCTCCTGGATTTCCTGGTAGACCCTAAGAGAAGAAAGAAAGAAAACATTAACCATGCTAAGCACATAGTCCTCATCTGCTGTGCCCACCACCTCCCCCAGCGTCTATATCTGCCAAGCATAACTCCGTGGAAAAAATGTCACCCAACAATGAAGATCGGCACCAATAAAAATTCGTTGTTTCCGATCTCAGCTGAATACCCAAGGATTCTTAGGAAATAGTCAACTGTGGCAGATGTTTAGAACAGTAAGCTACCCCTCCTATAAATCTTATCCAAGATACAAAACCAAAAACAACTCATACACACAGGGTATGTATGTATGTGCGCGCATGTGTGCACACACACATACACACCTATCTTAAGCTTCTGTCATCCTTTTCCAAACACAGGTGGAAGGACTAGCTTTGAAAAAGAGGAGGGTTCTTCTATTGGACTGGCTATAAGAAGGCAATGTTGAAAGTGGAGCAGGTAAATTTGAATATTTGGAGACAAGAATTAGAGGATAACTTTCTTCTCTTACATAGAACTCAAGGAAAGGAAGAAGAGGATAATTTATTGTTCCTGCTTAGGGTGAACTAAAGTTTTCCATTTCCATAGAAATGGAAAGGTGCATGTCTAAGTAATAAATATTGCTACTTAATGGTGCTAGATATCTTCGCTCCATAGGAACTCATCATTGTCATTTATCCATTGGTTAGTGAATATGTATCCAGTAGGTTCTATGTACCTGGAAGGCTGGTATGCATCAAGGACCTACAGATGCATAAGATACATGGTCCCCACCTTCTTGGAGCTCAGATCTCTCTGAGCAAAAGCCAGATCATCAAAATAAAAGAGGATATATTGCTGCCACAAAGTGGGAAGGGATGCATCGTTAATGAGCACCAGATAAGTCTGTGGAATTCCATTGAAGGGAAAAAGCCAGTATGGGGATGGGTCAGGAACAAGTCTATGGGGAAGGTAGTACCTAATTTGAGCAGAACTGACTGGCTAGATATGTAAGAATATTGACAAAAATAGGAGGCATTGTATGGGATGCCAAGGAGCTTATAAGATTAAAAAGCATAACACAAAAGTATAAGAAATGAAACTAGACAATACAAAATTATAAGCCACAATCAATTTAGAAGAAGGAAGGGGCAGGGATTAGCGGAAAAGAACAGCTCCTCTGGGGGTTCCTGGCCAAGGGAGGCCGGGAGATGGTGGAGGGGGGGCTTCCAGGGGAGTCTAGAAGAACCTCGACTGAGCCTGTACCATTTCTCTGTACTTACATCCTGGCCAGCTGGTCCCTGGGGGCCGGGGAATCCAGGTAAGCCTCGAGACCCCTGAGGAAAAAGAAAAGAAGACACCCCCCAACAGTTTAAGCAAAATAAGGCCCCCTTTCCTTGGCAATAGTTGGCTCTGCACGTGCAAATGGCCTGTTGCTGTGAGGAATCTGATATAATGTGTGTGCCAAGGAGCACTCTGCTCAGATCTTATTCATTTCTACACTTATGTAGGTGGACGTGTTACATACGCAGAGAGAACACTCTGGAAAACCTTCGTGGGAGCCTTACTGCCCAGGCCCCATTTGCAAGCTCCTTTCTTGAGTGGCAGAAACAGCTCCTGCAGTGGACAGGCTGAAGCACCAATGCAGGCTCACTTCTCCACATCCTATGGATGACCAGCCCCCTGGGCTTACGGACCAGCTAAATAAGGTAATTTGTGCCTGGTCCAGCACAGTGCCCAGCACTCAGGTGACAGTTATTTTTTATAAGAAAATCACTGCCATTCTCTTGAAAATTTCTGGACCACATCAAATTGGCACAAATGTCTATCATTAGGGATCTCACTTCCTGTAGAAAATTTTCTTTAAATAGATCTGCAGATGGGAATCAGCACTTTGTCCTGGCAGGTGCTGGAACTGTGCCACACGGCTGCTCAGGAGCCAACCTTGCCTCTTCTGGAGGCTTCACGAATCTCCCCTACACACCAACCCCTCCATCAGGAGCCCCATCTAACTTGTCTCTACTTTACAATGACTTGCTTTGAAATCTCATGCCTATCAATGAACTGCTCTGAGCCTCACTTTCAGCATCTATAAAAAATAGGTACAAAAACCCCTGTTCTCTTCAGTTCAGAGATCATAAGAGTGAGCAGAATTTAATGGACATAACATGATGTAAGGTACAGTACCATCATAGTGACTAACGTGTAGCTCTTCCCGCATTGGGGTGAGTTTATAGAAATTCACGTCTCCTGGTAAATGCATGCATATGCTTATGATCAATGCCTGCTACTCTGAAGAGCAAATGTTTGCAGAGAACTCTCCTGTTGCTTCACATGGAGGCCAACCCTCAGCTCTGCATAATGGCCCATTGGTCTTACCATGCCCACCTTATAGATTAGGAGAGAGCCTTCATTTGATCATGGCTATGTGCCTGAGGGTGGCGAAGCCAGGATTCAAAATAGCTTCTTCTGGCAATTTGATTAAATTCATTAGACCATGGCTAACCTTCCGTGATGCAGACATGCCAAAAAGCAAAGCCAGGTCCAGTGTGCCCAGCTATAATATGGGACACTGGACTAGATGACCCCTACCATCCCCTAACCTATTCTGTCATCCCATAGGTCAATGCTGAGATTTTGGAGACCATGCACTGTTCAATGTTAGGGATTTTCTGAAAGTACTTTAGTTTCTGGCTCCTCTAATTTAAAATTGCTTTGATTAGAGCAGAATTTCTCCCATCAAAACCCAGCCCTTTATTTAAATCATACTGTACCGGAGGTCCTTTGTCTCCCGGTGGTCCAGAAGGGCCCTAAGAAACAAAGAGACAAATAAATAAGCAAAGTAGAAATGAAAGGTTCATTTAAACATGCTGCAGTGTTTATTTCCAAGCCAGGCCTTTAACAGTCCTTGAAGGAGCAGGGAACTTCCCCTATCTTTAAGTCACACTGTCACATCCTCTCACTACCCACCCAGGATTGTTGCATATGAAAATCTTTCTGGAACTTTCTTCATTTGCCCCGGACTGGTACCACCCCATCCTGGAAACCTACTTGGTTTCTTACTCCTGAGCCCATATCTACTTTGTAGCTCTGGTGTAGGGTGGTAAACAACACCCCAGTATCCTCATGTCATACCCTCTTCCTGCTCAGGATAGGCTGGGGGGCACCCTCAGGGCCAGACTCCCCAGCTTGGCTGATGCTGCAGTGGTACCCCTCTTTGCTCCTACGAGTGGGTGTACACACACACACACACACGCACATACCCACAGATAGGTCTGCCATCCTACAAGTGTGTCCAGCTTAGAATTAGGTTTCTAGATATTCCACTTAAGATTTGTTCAGATCAAGGCATTAGTGTCTAGTCTCAGGTCCTGTGGCGAGCAGAACTCTCCCTTGCTCCTGAGTTTTTGCTATGCTTTGCCTCTGCGTGGAAGACTCTGCCCTGCCTTTCCACCTGGACACATTCTTGTCACACTTTGGTTCTCAGCTGAGATGTCAGAACGCTTGGAAAGCCTTCCTTGGCTTCTCCTAGGATGCTTGTTAGAGGTGGTCCCTACCCTCTCCGTGCGCCTCATAAGGACATATTGCCTAGTATAGTCATTGCTTCTCGGCCCATCTGCACTCACTACTGAACAGATTGCATGCTGCGTGGTTGGGTGGGCATTAAGCTCCTTGCTTTGCAGTCTCTCTAGTACTCAACACAGTGCCCTGTGGAGTCAGATACAGTAGGGCACAGCAAACGGCACTCTGCCAAAAGCAAAATTTTAGGGCACGAGGAGAAGTTTGGACTCATTTGTCATCATCCTTCCTTTCCATTGATAATCAAACAAAGGCCCAGAGGAGAATGGGACCTCCTGCTCTCAGTCCAATGCACCTTGAATCTCCCTGCAGCAGAACCCATGAAACTTTCATAGATATTCCCAAGAGGGAGAAAGATTCCACACAAATGCATAGGTTTCTGGCAGTATGACGCACCAGGTAACCTAAAAGGCTGACCGTTAAATATATCCCAGAACTACCTCATAAAATAGAATCAGCATCATTTTAAGTGCGTAGTTAAGCACTAAAGAAAGTAGGGGGAAACTCCAGAGGTCTAAAGCCAAGCAGGTAAGTCAAGCAGGTAAGATAATAGACTCAGAATTCTACCTGGGGTCTATTTGACTGAGAAGTCGCTCCTCCCTCCATTATTTCTCACTGCTTCTGTCACATTTTAAGTCAACGGTACACATGGACCAATATACATACTTATTCCTCAAGGAAAGGACTTAGTGACAGTTTACTGCTGGCACAGGAAATGCTGCCTTGTCACTTTGGAGTCATCCATGGCTTCAAAATTAAATTCCATGATCCACCTCAAGCATTTAACTTGTTCATTACACCAAGCCCCGAATTCCTCTCTTATGTCATTTACTTTAAAATCCACATGTGAAGGATGGGTCTTGTTGTCAAGAAGGTCTTCGTTTCAAACCTTAGCTTTACCAATTACTAGCTGTTTGACCTTGAGCAAGTTACTTAGTCCCTCTGAGCTTCAGTTTCTTCAGTTGTAATGCAAAGCTGAATGATCACCTTGCCTTGTGTGAGCAGAAATAAAAGAAGATGCTCTAAGATAGAGAACCAGGCCAGTGGCTGGCCTATAAAAGGCATTCCCATGCCTATTTTGTTCGGATACTTTTAGGAAATACCCGAGTGTGTTGAGGAGGAGGGACTGCATAATGACTTCCTAATGTCATTCTTAAAGCAGAAGCCTAAATGTGTTTCCAACAGTAACAATCGTCTTTTCCAAGATTATGCCATCTGATGTGTTTGTTTAAGACTCACTCTAGCCTAACACACATATTTTGGCCTTTGATACCATTTTCCACTATAAGGAAATACAACTCCTTGGAGAAATGACTGATCCCAGGTCTGGGCAAGGAATGTATACAAATCTTGTCATCCCAAAGAGCAAGGAAACCATCAAAGACTGCTAGCCTTGTGTCAAAAGTACTTACGGTCAACTTGAATGAGCTCCTATTGGCATAAGAGAAGACAATTTGAGCATCAATGGAAGAATAATTGCAATACATTAAAACACATTAAATGTGTTTAAATCCATGAATTCAAAATTATTGATAAAAAAAACATCTAATTGATCATCTCTGCAAGATGATAGGAAACCAAATCACTATCTTAAAACAATTAAAGGGAAAGACAGGAGCGTTTTCATCCTGCCTTCCATGTAAATCCTACCACTGGGTATCCAAACGAGGCCATTTTCTCCATACAGAAGTATTCCAGCTAACACATAAAAAGAACTGACAGAACTAGCCTAGCACCAATTTGCAACCCTTGATGTGCTAATTGATCCAAGCATGGAAATCAAAGGGTGTGAACATCACAACAAGAGACCACCAGACATCAAATGCCTCTTGATGGAAAAACACACCACCTGTGAGGTCTTGCCAAAAACATCTAACCCGAATCTGATCAAGGCCTCAGGCCCAAGTAGCCACATACAGTAAATACAAGGACAGAGCAACCTGTTAAACTATTAAATTAGCAATTTGGAGGAAGCTGTATTAGACCAAAAAACAAATCCTGTCTCAGCAATAAATAAATTGCAAAAGGAAAGAGAAAAGAATGGAGGGAAAATCTATAGATTAATAAAAGAAATTTTTTAACAAAACAACTAATTGCTGTTTACTTGGATCTCGATTCAAATAAAAGAAAACTGCAGAAGCATGACATTTATGGAAAAGGTAGAAACTGGACTGTTGACTGGATATTCAATGGTGAATTATTTTGGGGAGTGTGATAATGAAATTGTGGTTATGTTTAAAAAGTCCTGTAACCGCGGGCCCTCTAGGACCAGTTGAACTAGCCCCATCTTATCAACAAAATAATTAGAGTGGTTTTTCAGGAACTGAGACCCTTTGTCCAGTTCAAGCCAGTTGAGACCACCAACCCATGAACTGGGCCTGCACAAATGCTGCAGCTTTTTGAAGTCAAGGAGCTAAAACCTCCACCCTCAGATCATGGTGACACCGCCATTTTGTGAACACGTGTCCTGTGAAGAGGCGTGAAGCTTGGCTGTGCTCGGGCAGATCATCAAATACGTCACTTCTGCTCACCTCCAATCATCCGTCTCCACACTTCAGACTGCCCCGCCCTTCATCCCATAAACTGTGCCCCAAGCCCTGGGTCGGGGAGACAGTTCTGAGGGCATACAGCCTTCTGTCTCCCTGCAGATCAAACTTGCAGAATAAAGCTGATTTCTTTTCTGAGGCCATAATGAATTGGCTTGTTTATGCTCCTCAGGTAGGAGAGCACCTTTGTGCGGTAACAGTCCTTATCTTTTAGAAGTACATACTGAAATATTTACAGATAAAATGACATATGTCTGGGTTTTGCTTTGAAATAATGGAGGGTACAGAGGATGAGAAGGAAACAGCGACCATTGCCCAGGGATCCTGGTTGTTAGAGAGAAGGGTGGCTACAATGGGGGTCACTTTATTACTCTGCCTGCTTTTGGTATATCTGAAACTCTCCACAATAAATATATATAATATATTAATATTATTATATATTATATAATTATATATTATTATATACATATATACACACAGCACACACATACACACATACATATATAGATACAAGTACACAGACTCATGCACGTGCAGCACAGATACTGCGACCCTTTTGTTGTTTACTGATAACTGCAGTTAGTGAAAACCTACAAAACTGAAAGCCCCAAGGGGTTTAGGCATGCTAAACACATTCTCTTCTTTCTGTGCAGTAATGTCATGCTGAAACCACTGTTTCCCTCCTTTGAAGGTTGATCACCTGTCTCCCCCTCCTCCCATAGGCATATGCCTGACAACACGGTAAATTTTATTCTCCATAATCTTTTATCTGAATGGTAATATGTGCCTGGCTCTGTGTTGGGATTGGGGACAGATGACCAGATGATGGTAGGACAGGATCCAGGCTACACGGAGTGGTCCAGGCAGGAGAAAGCCACCCTGTGATAATGGGGGCTCAATGGGTCTGGGTTGAGAGATGCCAGAGCCAGTGGCATCAGCCTGAGAGAGTTTGGGGAGCCTTTACGCAGAGGGTGCCAGGTAAGAAGGGGTTTGGGGAATGGTGGGCTTCATAGGCAGAGAAGAGACAAGGACAACCCTGGCAGAGAGGACAGCTTGGCAGAGGAGGAGAGGAGAGGTCAGGCTTTATTCCAGGAAGAGAACAAGTGTCCTTCTCTGACATGTGGAATGCCTGGCTGTGGTAGCTGGGCGTTTCCAACGGCTGCTAGGGTCTGGGTGAGAAGGGCGGCAGTGCCTCTCAGGAGAGGCCTCCGAGGTCACTGAATAGGCAAGGGGTGAGCTCAGATCCAGGCTCGGTGTGGTGTGGAGAAGCAACTGGAGGGAACAGAATAGATTCCAGAGGCCAGGCAGGGAGGCCAGGGGGAAATCCAGAAGGAGGTAGGAGGGGAATCGAGGCCAGAACAAGAGCTCTAGAAGGAGATGGGGACCAGGGACAGCTCGTGGGGGCTTGGCCATGGCAGGAGCAGAACTCACAGTCGCTGGAGACTGTGGGGTGCAATATGGCCTTCTCAATTACGTCCAGTGCAAAGAATCCCCAGGACAGCAAAGCTCCTCACGCCACATCATGAGGAACGTCACTCGACCCACAAGAAGAGCAGAAGTTGTCTTATAGCTTAGGAACCAAGAGCTTGGACTTCAGAGAAAGACAATCTTGGGTTCAAATGCCTGCTTTGCCTCTCACTAACAGAGTGACCCAGCCAACTGTGTGAACCTCTCTAAGCCTCAGT